GGAGTTCAAGGGCAGCCTCAGCTACACAAGCCCCTCTTGAAAAGGAGAGCAGAAACCTTAGATAGATGCCTTACCATAGGCTCTTCTGTTGTTCGACATTGAAAAGGTTGCAACTGGAGCAAGTCTATGAAATTCTAGTGCACGCACCACCATTTCCAATCCAGTGCCCATAGCAGACATTACCAATCAACACTAGAATGTTCTTCTCAGGATGCATCCAGGTAGCTGTTACTCATTCCACAAAAGCTTGTGGCTGCTTCTTTGTCACTCCTGGACTGGCTGATCTCTGAAGGCTCTTCCCATGCTGATAGCTAAGTTGTGACCTGGATGAATGATTATCACTACCCCCATTTCCCCTTTCTCCCTCCAACTCATTCTTTCGATCATTCCCATCCCTCCCTCTCTCTCACCTTGCTATGTTTCTGAGTTCTTCCTCTGAGCCCACGTAAACCCTCGCTGTTGTCTGGGTCTCCAAGGTTCTGTTTGCTGTCAGTCAACCTCAGGTTCCTTGTAAGTTACATGCATTGAGCAATTCTGCGACATTGGCTCAGAGAGACAGGCATTGATGGAGACACAAGAGGCAGTCACAGAAGTGTCGCCAGATAACGAAATGGGCAAAGCAGGGGCTAGAGTTAAATTTATGTAATCAAGGTTGTCTGAGTAGGAATGGGGAGGGGGAATCGGAATGAAATTTGTCCTGGAACCCCCAAGGTCACAGTGGGAGAGAGGATCAGGTAGGATCTAAAACCGCAAAGGACAAAGGGAGCATATAAATTAGGATCTCAAATGACAAGCATGAGAAGGACCGAGAAATTTTTTTTGGTAGTGGGGGACTATGAAGAATTGCCCTAATGAGATGGACTTCACAGGGCTTCATAGGTGTAACAGTATCCATAAGCTACTGAGCAGGAGAGTTTGGACCAGGAGGGTAGGTGCTGGCCAGCAGCCAATTAGAGGCTTATCATAAAGTCTTACCTAGGTTGGTGGATATGGCTTACCCATAAGAAAGAACTACCTGAAGCAGTTTTAGACATCCAAAAAGTAACACCAACTTTACCTCAGGGGTATGCGTGCTTGTGGGACATGCACAAAGGCCAATGGGTCTGGAGAGGAGTGACCACAGGAAAGTGCTCTGTCTGTAATCTGGGAGTTCAAATCCCAGCTCATCTACTTTCTAACTGTAAGACTCAGGCAGGCATCAGTGTCCTCACTTGCAAAATGAAGATGAATTTCACCCACCCCTAAAAGTTGCCTTTTGAGTGTTAAGTCAGAATGTGAATGGGAAGGGTGCTGGGGAGATAGCTGTTAAGAAAGTCCTTGCCTGAGTTTGATCCCCAGAACCCAGGTAAAAATGTTGAGTGTGGTGGTGTATGTTGCAATCCTAGCTCTGAGGAGGCAGACACAGGTACATTCCTGAAGCTCACTGGCCCGTCAACCTCGCCTAACTGGTTATCTTCAAGCCAAAGGTAGACTCTGCCTCAAAGAGGGGACAGTGGTTCTGACCTCCACAACATGAACGTACAATGCACCCCACAACGTGCACCCTCATGCATGAGCACACCGAAGAAAAAGAAGAATGGATATCGGAGTCAGGTGTGGTGGTATAAACCTGGAACCCCAGCTGTTTGGAAGAATGAGGCAGGAGGATCCCACACTGCGGGGCTATGTAGCTAGTCCAAACTTAGCCAGTCTCAAAGTAAAAACATAAATGAGCCTCAGGCTCTGTCTCAGCAGTACATTGCTAACCTTGCATTGCATAAGGCTCTGAGTTCAAACTCGAGAACTACCCAAAAAATGTCTCTGAGTTAATGGCTCCAAGCACTTGGAAAGTAGAGGCAAGGAAGATCAGGAGTTCAAGGTCACTCTCAACCTCATGAAATTTGGAATTAGAGGGCCATCCTAAGCTACATGAGAAACCCTGTTTCAAAAACAACACCAAGGAATGTGGATAGGAGCTGGGGATACAACTCAGTGGTAGAGCGCTTGCCTAGCATGCCCATGCCTTGTGGCATATACAGATACACCTATATGTGCGTGTGTCAACGTACGTTTATCAACTTTAAGAGTAGAGTCCTCTCGCCGGGCGATGGTGGTGCACGCCTTTAATCCCAGCACTCGGGAAGCAGAGGCAGGCGGATCTTTGTGAGTTCGAGGCCAGCCTGGTCTACAGAGCGAGACCCAGGAAAGGCGCAAAGCTACACGAGAAACCCTGTCTCGGAAAAAAAAAAAAAAAAAAAAAAAGAGTCCTCTCAAGCACACCATCTAATTCCCCGTGTGATGTGTAATTTTTGTGTAAACAAAGGCTGCAATCCCAAACTGCCCGACCCATCATGGTACAGGACGGGTGGACAGCACCTGCAGAGCCCCAGCAAAGGGGCCAGTTGTTCTCCAGCGAGCAGAGGCCATATATGGCAGAACAGCACAGGCACTGACTGAACTGAGGGCTGAGAATAGCTCACAGACATCAGATGGTCATTTCTTTAGCCCAATCTCTCTCCTTTGCCATCTGGTTGTGGGCTGCCTAGCCTTTTCAAGCTGCCTGGCCCAATCTCCGCCCAATGAAGGAAACAAAAAAAGCAAACAGGACTTCTGGTGTTCCTAGGAGCCACCACCCACCGGAGGTGGCTTGGTTGTGGCCAACAAGGGTCAGCCAGGCCTACCAAACAGCAATCAGGATGGTAGTCCCTGAAAACAAGGAAGAGGCTGGCGGGCACTTTCCTAAATCCCTGTAACCAGTGTTCCAGCTCTCTTCAGAGGCTCTAATAGTGATAAGGAAGAAAAGGTCCTGGGTCCCCAACCCTTTCATGTGCCCATGGGATCTGCCATTTGGTACAGTGTGGGAGCCAGGCCAGTATAGAAGGAGACCCCAGCTTCCCTACCTGCATATCTGGCCCCAGGACATATGGTATCACTTGAAATTAGGAATACCTTTGCTTTCCAGATTCTAGGGATATGCCACACCCTCAGGCTGAGGCATAGAGGCTAAGAGAAAAGGGCTATGGAGTCAGACAGATCTGAGCTCAAATCTGAGCTTGGCTATTTGCAACTAGGACCCTTGGGCTAGCTCTGGAAGCAATATGTATCTATTTCTTCATCTGTAAGTTGGGAATGCTAAAAATGAGTTCACAACAGGATTACCCACATATAGTAAGCATGTAGCATTTTAACCCAGGTGTGGAGCATAGGAAGTGCTTGAAAGATATTAACAGTTTTTTCTTTTAATTAATTGCTGTAGCTCACAAGGCCCCCAAATGTTCTGTGATCAAGAAATTGCATAAATTCCAGTCAAGAAGGCTGAAGAGCCCAGTAAGTGAATCCCACTCAAGTAAAGTCTGATGTGGTATGACCCTTCTGCCACCCCGATTATATGGCCTGGACTGCCATAGAAGAGTGTCCTTTCAGGCTGCTGTGGAGCACTTTCCCATGACCACCTGGTGGTACTGCTGGGAACAAAGGCCGATCTTAGAAAGTCCAACTCCTAGACTCCCTTTGACCTTTGTCCTGGCCGGGGCCCAGGAAGAGGCAGCAGTGGACCAGGAATAGATGGTTCTGAACAACCATACCCCAAGTGACCATCCTCCCCTCCCTGGGAATCAGAGCAACTGGAAGCCCTGAGGGAACGGGCTCAGACCTGTCTGTAGGAAGGGGATTTCCCTGGGTTTTAGTTGATACTCCAGGTAGTCAGGCCTGCCCTTGGGGACGGGGTGCATATTTCTTAAGAAAGTAGGACACACTCATGACAACAGACAAGAAGCCTGGGAAGACCCCATACACTAGAGAGACCTCAGGAGTCCTTCAGCGCTGCCCCCCCCACCCCCCCCCCCCCCCCCCCCCCCCCGGGCAGTGTTCTCTTCCTTCCCAGCCCCCTCCAGCCTCTACTACTGCCTTCTTTCAACAGCCTGTGTTCCTGTGTTTACCTGGGGCTGCCCGGTCTGGGTATTTCTCTGTATGTGGGTCCTTCCTTGTCCCCCACCCGGCGGATGCCTGGGCTGAATTGTGTATTTCCGGAGTTGCTACTTGAATCACAGGCTCTTATTTTTAGAAGATTATGAAGGCGGGGGCTGGGAGGAGAGGACGAGGGACCCAGAGTTAGAGTGGAGGAGGGTCTGAATACCGTGCCTGTGGTACAGGAGTGGAGTGAGGCACCACGAGGGTGCGGATAAACCAGATGAGGGGAATAGATGGGATGGTGGGAGAAAAGGGAGGGTGAGGAAGTGGGGGAGTCCCATTCTCCCAGTACCCTGGGGGCCCTGAGTTGGAATCAGAGTCTATCCGGCCCGGGAGGTTGTGTGGAAGGGGCCAGGTCAAGGGTCAGTCTCTGGCATGTAGCTGGATCCCCAGGGAGGCTGAGGAGCCTGGGAAACAGGCTGAAAAAAGCGACTCCCATCCCCCTCCCCAGGGGCCTTTGGGACTGGAGAGTAGCTTCCTGTATGGACAACTTCTCTGTCCCTTTTGCTGAGGATGTCTTAACCCTTCTGGTGCTGGTATCGGACAAAGCAACACATGTGCTCACATGCTCTTTCACCCTTGCGGGGTGAGAGGACATCAGCCCAAACCAAAGCTTGTGGGGTTAGGAAGTCCCCACCCTGCAAGAAATGGGGAGCCCAGGCTGAGAGGAAATGAGCCTTAACGTCAGAAACCTGGTCTGTATTTCTGTCTCCATCTGGGTGTTGTGACCTTGCTGAGATCCTCAGCTCTGCACTTCAGATACAGCCTTGGGACACGAGGAGGGAATCAAAGCAGAGATGTTGGTTCTGAGAGGAGCAGAGAGGAGACAGACATCTGCTGGTCCTCAGTGCCCTGGAGTCCCTGAAGGCTGCCCTGAGCTCATAGACACTGGACTTCACTGCTCCCCCTCTCCTGCTGCTGCAACCAGAGGCAAGAGGCGGCTTGCTTCTTCTACCCCGAATATGCATGCTCGGCACGTGCGACACCTCACACACCCTGGGCTGCCAATAAGCCTGAGAGAAAGAAGTAAACCAAATAGATGGGTGCCCTACCTTGACTGCAGGACAGGCTGTCTTTCCCTTTCGTGCTGCCTCCCGAAGAGTACAAGATGAGAAGTCAGAACTGGCCTGGATTCAAGTTCTGCCCAATGCCAGTGGTGAGGCTTTGATCGAACCCCATTGCTCCTCAGGGGTCTCAATTTCATTTAACTGCAAAATGGAGATCAGAAAATAAAACGACCTTACGGTAAAGCACCTGCCTATGCCAGAGCCAGACGACCTTTGTCAACCTGCAGGGGTGTGCAAAGCAATGGTGTTATTGCCAGCTGAAGACCTGGTCCAGAGGTTCGATGCAGCATAGTCATTTTGAGATTGAGGCAGCTTGGAAGTGTGACCTTGGGCAAGTTCCTTGGGTCTCCATTTTCTCATCTGCAAAATGAGGGCTCTGTTAATACCTACTGCCATGGACTGTTGGGAGCGTAAATGAGATAGTACACATGAATGGTTATTCGGTGCCTAGTGCTTGGTGAACTCCATAAATAGTGGCTATTGTTACATTCACCTCCCCCCCCCCCACACACACACACAATCTCCAGCAGCTCCTAACCCTCCTCTCCCTCCCGCTTCCTTTCCTGAAGGATAAGACATGCCCAGGTCCCTACTCTGGCCTCACTGGGATGAAAATCTATCTTCCCGAAGCTGGAACTTCACAACATCTGAAAGAAGGGAGAGAGGGTTGCTGAGAGTGAAGGCCATAGGCTGAGGGTGCTGGGAATTCACTGGGGGAGGGCAGAAGAGGGTAAGAAGCCAGCCCTCCCCCGCTCCCTTCAGCTGCTGGGGTCGGGTCTCCCACCCAGCTAAGCAGGGCACCTGGATACTGAGGGCTGCTTATCAGGTTAGCTTGGAGCCGATGTCTCTGGCTGTCTCCGCCTATTACCCGACCCATCCGTCCGCTCTCCTGTACGCCCTGCCTGCCCCCAGCCCTGCCTGTGCTAACTAGTTAATTGGATCTTGGCTAACCTGGTTATGGGCCGAGTCAGCGGGCTCCTCTGCCTCGAGAAGCAGGAGTGGGGGAGGGGCAGAGCTTTGTGTGTGTGAGTGTGTGAGCATGTGTATCTGTGTATTAGATCAGAGCCTGTCTCTGAGCTCTGATCTGAGCCTCTGGGGAATCCTGGAACCCACAGGCGCTGAATCTGCATGCTGCAGAGGAGACTTAGAGCACCCAGCTTGACTGGGAGAGTGGAGGGCACAGGTCTCCCGGCCTTTTCTAGAAGCTAACAGCCCGTCTGTCCTGAAGGCACATAGATGGAGAATGTAGATGATTCTTAGCTTCCTCCTCTGTAAAATGGGATTATAAAACCTATCACCTCGGGGGAGTCATTTGTGAAGACCAAAAGAAACAGCGTGCACATCTGTGCTTGGTGCTTAGCAGGGGCTCTGTGCATGGTACTGATCACCACCATCACTAATCAAACTGGGTTCCAGCCACATTCTTGGAATCCTGGGGGTTGGGCCGAGGGATCTCGGTGGAGATGGAAAGGCTTTCATTCTCAGATGATTGCAGGTGTTTCCTCTGAGGCAGGACTCCAATCTCCTCAATTGTTTCTTATGCAAATGTTATGCTAATGATCTCCTGAGTGTATCCCAGTGCCCAGCGAGAAGGTGAAGGTGGGCTATGCCTTCAGGTTTCCCTGTGACCACACTGTCCCCTCCCTTTGTCAAAGAGAAGCCAGTGCTGATGCTCCTAAGAAACAGTTCTCAGAGCACTGAGCTAGAGGGAAAAACAAAGTCAGGGCCTGGCTCTCGGTAGGAGAAGGACAGCCTCGTCACCGCCATAATCATCAACATCAAAACGGCCTTTGGAAACGTCAGATTCTTCCCCGCCCTGTGCAGACTACTCTACAATTACGGAGGCCCAGCCCCTGGCCCTCGGGGTGCTGGAACTGGGGAGGGGGCGGGAAGGGAGGGAGGATCTTGGAGAGAGCTGACAGGCTGTTTCCTAACAAGCTAGTGGCCTTTCTTGGAGCTCTCCTTGAGCCAAAGGCCAGGCTCAGGGCAGGAAGGCTCACAATAAAGTGGGCAGACTACGGTGAAGGAAATGGCAGCAGAATCTATCCCATCTCGCTTTCACTTTCTCCCCAGCAAAGTGACTTCGCCTCTGTCTACCTCCCGTCCGTCCTCAGTCATAAACTAGGTCTGATAATTCCTGCCTTTCCAGGTTTCAGTGAGATGAAGGCCTCAATGACAGTCCTATCTGGTGACTGGATTGATGGCAGAGGAAAGGCGGGTGCCCCTGCTGGCTTCTCCGTGGCCCCTACGACCTGAGCTTGTGTAGCGGCTCCCCCTTCGCACCTGCAGCTGGCTAAGTCGGTTCCCTGGGTCAAGGAAAATGAAGCAATTGGATGGTATGTGCCTCCGAATGGGTGGGCTTGAGTTGGGTCTCCATTAACCTCTCCTCTGCCCTCCAAATTCCTTTCCTGCCTTCTGACTTGATCCTCTGACTTGGTCCTCTAGATTATAGAAAACCAGAGGTGCAGGGTGACGCTCTAGACACAAGTTCAGCAACAGACGAGGACTGCTGATCAGATCAGCGTGGACACAGCCTCCTCCCTGGGGGTCCTGTGCTTGCACTGCCAGGCTTTTTTGGCTAAAATGCCCAGGCCACTTTCTTTTGGCTCCTCCAACCCCTATAGAGATTCCAGGACCAGTGCCTAGTCCAGGGCAGACTAACCCTTTGACACATAGTAGGTGTTCAATTAAAAAAAAAACCAACTGGAGGAACCAGAGCGACATCCCTGAAGACTCTCTAATAAATGCCGAATTGTGCAAGCAGCTGGCTGCTGTAATTAGACCACGGAGGGCAGTCACTTATTAATATTGGACTCATGGCAGGGTTAACAGCCATTGAGGGTAGGGACAATGAAGAGAGAATCACTTCCTGTGCCCTCGGGGACTTCCTTCTGAGATGGCCTTCTGAAGAGGGTGGATCAGCACCCATGTGCCCTCACTGGCCTACGGTCCTGCCGCCTTCCTGGTGTCTCTGGTGGCCTCTGGCCTGGTGTAGCAGTTAGGACTCTGGCCTCTCCTATTCCTGCCTTTCTCCTGGAGCCTCAAAGCCCTTATCTCCCTTGCTTTATGATGCCTATCAGTAGGGAACCCAAATGAGAGCTCTGTATACCCAAGCCTTATCTTTCCTTTATATTCAAGGCTTTTAAACCCTGGGGCAGATTTATCTCCTGCCCATTCTGTATCCCCAGGGGTGGGAGACTTGGGGTGTTGGTGTTGGAATAAAGAATTCCAGTGGGGAGAGGGTATGAGAGAGAGAATGAGAAAAAGAGAACAGAAAAGAGAGTAACAGAGAGGAGGGTAGCTTCTAAGAAGTGAGAAGGGGAGGGAGGGAGGGAGGGAGGGAGGGAGGGAGGGAGGGAGGGAGGGAGGGAGGGTGACCGTGTCTGTTCTCAGACTCACAGAGTGTAAGCATACTCTGCCTGGGAGTTTACAGTCTATCTGGAAAGAGGAGGTGGCCAAATACAGAGCCCTGAACTCCTGTCCCTCGGCTTGGAAGCCTCAGCTTGTACCTGCTCTCTGGCCTGCCAGCCCAAGCCCCCTCTTTCCTCACTGGCTGACTCCCCTTGGCAACCAGTCCCTGAGGATGTACTCCTGGGTACCATCCAGGGGTGGGGGCCGCTCAGGAGCCATGCCAAGCTGGGAAGCATGGCCAGGAAAGAGTCGGCAGAGCAGATGCCGTCCTTCTCCTGCTGCCTTGATTAGAGAAATTGAGATGTTAATAATATTCTGAGATGCAAGGTGCTAATTAAAGTTAATTACTGTTTCCTTGTGAAGTAACCTCTCCTCGTGTTTACCAGGAACAAGGCTGCCAGCCGCTCCCCTGGCTCGTGCCAATCACGATGCCCGCTGCTCAGTGTACCCCACACCCCCACAGGTGCCCTCAGCTGCCCCAGCTCAGCCCAGGCAGGCACCAGGAGCTGGGGTTCCCAGGCCCTGCCTCTCGACCAACCCTGCCAAATAACACAAAAGCACCTGAGTATGAGTGACCCATGTGACCCAGAGACAGGACGGATGACCTCAGGGCTGCCACCTTGTTCTCTTTCCCCGCAGGGTCTTACCTGTCTCTTTCCAGCTCATTGACCTAGAGCAAGGTATCTAACTTCTTAGGCTCTGTTTTCTCATGTGTGCATGGGGCTCATAATTCCTACCTTGTATTGTTCTGGGAGTCAAATGGGACACTGCCCGTAAAATGTTTAGCATGACCACATACATAGTTGGATTTAATAAGCTCTCAATTAAGGTTAACTGTGATTGCTTTTGTCTCTGTTAATAATCATCTCCCTTCTAACTCCCTCTGCTGTGTGGTCGGGCTGCAGGACCTAGGTGAATAAGCTGAGTATATATACAGTCCTCCACACACTGGGCCACCACCCAGGCACAATGCACATGAATCCCACCCCCACCTCCCCACTCCTCCATCCTCTGCAGCCCTTACCTGGTCCCTCTCACTTGGAGAAGTGGCCAACCCTTGGCTAGGGGTCCTGCCAAACTCAGCCTAGGTGAGGTGTGTGCGTGTGTGTGTGTGTATCTGTAGTCTGTGTGTGTGTGTGTGTGTGTGTGTGTATGTGTCTATCTTTGGTGTGTGTGTGTCTATCTGTGGTTTGTGTGTGTGTGCGTGTGCACTTTTCTCCTGTTCCAGACTTCATAGGGCTTTGGGGGAGAAGCCACCCTCTTGGGATCCAAGTGAGGTTGCCATGACTACTGCAGGTGTTCACCTCCAATATCCTCCGCTCTCTCTCCCCAGCACCCCCATCCCAACACAGCCATACTGGCCAATTCTAGGGGTGAGGGGAGACATCTTTATGATAGGAATCTCCCAACACCTATTCTGGATTACCTCTTCTGTCTTCCTGCTTTCTCAGAAAGCCCTTCAGCTGGGGAGGGGGCCAAGGGACCAGACTAAGGCCTGTACACAATTATTCCTTCCAACTTAGTTTCCTCGGGGCTCAGAGCTAATGACTTAATATCACTGTCATCTTTGATTTGGGAGGATGGAGGCTTTGCAAAGGGCCCCCTGCCTGTAGCATAGAGAATCAAAGAGTCAGGACCCTCTGCCGGCTTCTGGTACCTTCTCCAACTACAGGAGAACACCTGGCCTTTTCTCTCAGTGAAGTACTGGCCGGTCAAACCTAAGTCACTTCTTTTTGTGGCTTAGAAGGGTAAGAGAAAGGTTGGACATCCAGCTCAGATTTGGGGGTAAAGGTAATTTGGAGCAGCATTGATGGAGCCAGCAGGCTCTGGGAGATCCCTAAGGTTTGGTTGCTCCCCATGAACCCTTCATTCTCCCCTGTAGCCCCAGATCCCAACTTCGGGCTTCGCTTTGATGAGGGCAGATCCTATTGGACCTCCTCCTCCCCCAAACTCTGGCTGTTAGCCCCTCTGCAAACCTGGACTCCATCCCCAAAGCCCACAGCTTCTGGTTCCTAATCCAGTTCCTGATCCAGAGCCCAAGTCCTCCCTCATCCCCATCTCTTCCCTCAGTGTCTTCCCCTCCCCATTTCCTGCTTCGGCTGTACAATCCCAAAGTAGATGTCTTCCCTCCTTTGTTCCTTCCTTCGTTCCTTCGTTCCTTCCTTCTTTCCTGCCTGCCTTCCTTCCTTCCTCAAACATTTTTGGGAATGGTAGTGGGAAATAAACAAAGTTCTTGCCTTCTGTAAGGTTTTATTATTGTGGAAAGAGACAGAACTTGAACAGGTAACAATGTAGTGACAGATTTGGATAAGGTCAGGACATAAGACAAAAGGGGGCCTGAGACTCAAAAGGGGCACCTCAGGTGGTGGCGGCGCACGCCTTTAATCCCAGCACTCAGGAGGAAGAGGCAGGAGGATCTCTCTGAGTTTGAGGTCAGCCTGGTCTTACAGAGCGAGTTCCAGGACAGCCAGGGCTACACAGAGAAACGCTGTCTCAGAAAAAAAAGAAAGAAAAAAAGAAAGAAAGAGGGATAGTGGTCCCTTATACTTCGCCACTTAGATATGGGAAGTCAGGGGAAGGTGATAAAGTGGTCTGCTAGGGCTACTGAAAAATTTACACAGGCTGTCCCCAGCACATCATGGGTATGGAGGCACTTAGCCTGTTGCTGTCCTCTGCTACCAGCTGCTCAGTCGACCGTGGCAGAGATGTAACATCAGGGTGGCGTCCCCCCCCAGCAGTCCTCCCTCATTTCCGCTCACCAGTGTCTCCAGCTACTTGTATCTCCAAAGGCTCAGGGGATGAGGAGTAAAGGTGCCAACTCCCAGGGAACTTATTTTTTTTATTTGTCGATTCATTTATTCATTTGTTGGTTTTTGGTTTGTTGAGACAGGTTTTCTCTGTCCAACAGTCCTGGCTGTCCTGGAATTCACTTTGTAGACCAGGCTGGCCTCGAACTCACAGAGATCTGCCTGCCTCTGCCTCCCGAGTGCTGGGATTAAAGGTGTGTACCACTATGTCAGGCCCTTTTGGGGGGAATTTAAATAAAGAAACTTGGGCTGGGGCTGTTGCTCAATGATTGAAATTTTACTTAGCATGCATGGAAACTCTGAGTTTAATCTCCAATACTACACAGAAAACAAAAAACAAAAGGAGGTGATGAATACATGGGCAAGAAAGATCACGGTCAAGCAAAAAACCAAAAACCATGTTTTAATTGATTTTTATGCATGTGTGTGTGTGTGTGTGTGTGTGTGTGTGTGTGTATACATGCATGCAGTCCTCTCAGAGGCCAGAAGAGGGTGCTGGATTCCCCAAGGGCTGGGAGCTGGACGGAAGTCCTCTGAAAGAGCAGCAGGTGCTCTGAGCAGCTGAGCCATCTCCCTCCACCTCAGGGAAAGGGTTTTAACACAGCTTCCATGCTATACAAACTCCTACTGCTGCAAAAATAAAATATGCATGCTCTGGGAGGCTTTAAGAAGCATCCTGGCCAGGAAAGGGCTCACGGGGGCAGCTTTGTGTGGGTGCAGGTTATTGAGGGCAGGAGTGCAGAGGGCACTGGGCAGGTGGAATAGGTCCAAACCACGTGATAGGACCATGTGCACACTGGCAAACACTGCCCAGGGACTTTGCCCTTCCCGGTGCTGCAGCCCCATGAAATATTTAGGCTTCTGGATGCTGCTCATCCCTTATTGTCCCCCTCAGCAAGGATACTTCTTCCTTTACATCATTTATGGCTGTCCTCTTTCCTCCCCTCAGAGGCAGGCAGAGCAGGAAAAAGCAGACCTGAAGCTAGAAAAGTCTTTTTGATCCTGTGGACAGGAAGTAGGGTCTATGCCCCACCCCTGACAAATACAGCTCTACCCTCTGAAAGCAGATACCTACTAAGTGACTTCTGGAGCAAGAGAAGAGATGGATCTGGGCCTAGGGAGGGGTCACTGTGCTTCCCATGAAAGAGGAAGTTTCAAGAGGACAATACCCCTGCAGTGTTCTAGAGAAAGAGTCTGGTCTGACCATAAAACTTACCATTTATTCATTGTGCATGCACACATGTGTCTGTGAGTGTCCCTGTGTGTTTATTCATTTATTTAATTTTGAGACAGGGTGTTACTATGTGGCTCTGGCTGTCCTGGAACTTACTATGTAGACCAGGCTGGCCTCAAACTCAGAGATCTGCCTGCCTCTGCCTCCCAAGTGCTGGGATTAAAGGCATGTACTGCTAGGCCTGGCTATGTACTTAATTTTTTGAGACACCGCCTCACCATCTTGCCTAGACAGTCTTGAACTCACTACGTAACCCAGAGGTTGGCCTGAACTTTTTTTTTTTTTTTTTTTTTTTTTTTTGGTTTTTCGAGTCAGGGTTTCTCTGTGTAGCTTTGAACCTTTCCTGGAACTCACTTGGTAGCCCAGGCTGGCCTCGAACTCACAGAGATCCGCCTGGCTCTGCCTCCCGAGTGCTGGGATTAAAGGCGTGCACCACCACCACCCAGCTTGTCCTGAACTTTTATGTCAAGCCTCCTGCCTCAGCCTCCCAAGTGCTGAGATTCTGAGCGCGTTTCACCATGCCTGGCTTAAAGCTGCCATTTACCAAGCTCTTCCTGAGCCTTTCCTTAGCAGTGTGTGCATTATCACCTTTGATCCACAAGACACATTTTGGCTTTATTATCCTGATTCCAGCTAGGGAAACTGATACGCGCAAAGGTTAAGTAACTTGCCCAAGGCAACCAGACAGTCCAGCAGTAGGCTGAGCCCTCACAGGCCTCTTCTTTTTGATAACCTCCCTAGAGGTGAGACTTAGGAAGGGGAAAGTCAGTGAGTGCATCTCAGTCCTTCTATCTGTTGTCCCCCACTGGTCTGGAGAGTTCTGTCAGGCCGGCTTCTGCTCTGTCCCCTCAAGACCAGGCTCT